TGATCCCTTTCTCATCTTGTCCACTCTTAGATTTTGCTTTGGCTGTGGGCTCCTATCTAATTGCATGTAGTGCTCTTCAGCACTGCTTCCTGAATGGTTACTTATTTGGACATGGCTTTAAGGCCTTGTTCTTGCTGTGCAGAAGAGAAACTGATGCATATACTGGTGAGGGTCAACTACCTCCAGTAGGTTTAGTTCCCACTTTCAGATATTTTTTCCCTTTCTCCAGCACCACTCTTTGGCTTACAGGAATCTACTGCTCATCTGCTGTGTGCACTCCAACTTCTTAACAGGTAGAGTGGTAGAGTGTGGACCTGGTAAGCAAACACTGATGGCAAAAGTGATCCCTGCCCAAATCAGCCAACAACCCAGCATCAGGAGTGATAATAAGGCAGATTCAGCTTGCATAGTCCCTGTCTTTCTTTTGCAGTCCTATTAGAAGAGGAATGGAATAAATGGGTTTTCCAAACTGTGTTTCCCTCTGAACATTGGGGCAAGAGTGAAGTGTGAGATTCTCATCACTGATGTCTGTCATCACGTTTGTTGGCAGCTGTGTTGCTGCAAAATGGCAGCAGGCTCAGGCTGTAGCCCCCTGTGAGCCATTGGTGCAGGAAGATACTGGTTGTTTCCCAAGTACTTCTAGAAGCAGAGGGATGCTGAGCTGGGAATAATGGACTTAATTCACAGAGGTGTGGTGGCTGTGAGTACTTTCTACCCTCTTTTCTCTACAGACTTTTTCTTTTTCATAGAATCATAGAATCAGCCAGGTTGGAAGAGACCTCCAAGATCATCAAGTCCAACCCTACTGTCGTTACTAGACCATGGCACTAAGTTCCACATCCAGTCTCATCTTGAAAACCTCCAGGGATGGTGAATCCACCACCTTCCTGGGCAGCACATTCCAATGCCTGATCTCTCTCCATAAAAAAATCCGAACTAAACTTCCTCTGGCAGAGCTTGAGTCTGTGCCCTCTTGTCCTACTGCTGGTTGCCTGGGAGAAGAGACCAACCCCCACCTGACTACAACCTCCTTTCAGGGAGTTGTAGAGGGCAATAGGGTCGCCCCTGAGCCTCCTCTTCTCCAGGCTGAACAACCCCAGCTCCTTCAGCCTCTCCTCATAGTCCACGAGTCCCTTCACCAGCCTCGTTGCTCTTCTCTGGACCTGCTCCAGCACCTCAATATCCTTTCTGAACTGAGGGGCCCAGAACTGAGCACAGGATTCAAGCTGTGGCCTCACCAGTGCTAAGTACAGGGGCAGAATCACCTCCCTGGTCCTGTTGCCCACACTGTTCCTGATCGAGGCCAGGATGCCACTGGCCTTCTTGGCCACCTGAGCACACTGCTGGCTCATATTCAGCTTTCTATCTATCCAAACTCCCAGGTCCCTTTCTGCCTGGCTGCTCTCCAGCCACTCTGTCCCCAGCCTGTAGTGCTACATGGGATTGTTATGGCCAAAGTGCAGGACCAGCACCTGGCCTTGTTAAACCTCATCCCGTTGGAATCAGCCCATCTCTCCAGCCTATCCAGGTCCCTCTGCAGAGCCCTCCTGCCTTCCAGCAGATCCACACGCCCCCCCTACTTTGTGCCATCTGCAAACTTGCTGATGGTGCACTCAATCCCCTCATCCAAATCATCAACAAAGATATTAAAGAGACCTGGGCCCAGCACTGCCCAGGGCCTCTCCATCTAGTCCTTAGTATGTCTACATGTCCTCCAAAACTAAAAAATCCTTCACCTTTCCCTCTCTAATGAGCTATTCTTTCTCTTTGACCTTCTTTCCCTTTTCCATTTGGCTGTAGTATAGCCTGGGAGATCCCCCACTCTCCGTTTCCAAGATCAGACATTGTGTGGCTTTTTTGCAGGATGGGCAGGGATATCTCTTCCCAGTCACGTGGCTGTAAGAAAGAGCAGATTCCCCTTAGGTGATTCATGGTATTTGGTTTACCGAGGGAGAAAGGAGGGGAAAGTATGTTCCCTGCATACAAGAAGTCCAGAGGATTTTGTTGCTAAGCTCTGAATCTCTGTTGAGCCTTTGTGGTCAGCAACTTTCAAGTACTTACTGCTTGGCCAAATTTGAGGTGATTTTCTTAAAGGAGGAAGGACATACAAGATTTCTATTCTGAAAAAAATAAAGGACTGGTTAAAGACTCAGTTAAATAGTTTGGATTTTTTTTATGTTACTAAATTATTTCTTTTTTTTTCCTTCCTCATTTTGTCTTTGGAACTAGATGACTGAATATTATTTTTAAACTTTCATGCCAAAACCAAAACTGATAAGGAACAATATGCAGCCTGGTGAGGTTTGGGTGACAAACATTGTTTGAAAACAGGCTTAACCAGAAAGTATTCAAATGTGTTACCTGCTATCATTACTACTATGACCTACAATACTTGTGGGGTGAACCTTTAGCATGGGCTTCATCCAGTCAAACAATGTAAAAGCAGAGCTGATTGAAAAATAGTCCTGTATGAGACTTTTTGCAAAGAGTTAACTGGAATGGAAAGCCCACTTGTCCATTTTTCTTCATTTTACGAAGGAATGGAAGTCTTTCCAAAGAGTGTGTGACATAGTGGGATAAAGTGAAACATTCTTGTTTGGTAGAATTGTATTTTGGTCAGGTAGTTTGCTTATCCACATTTGTGGATGACACTAAGATGAGGGAGATACACTGGAAGGCAAGTCTGTATTTTAAGTCGTTTAATAATGATGGAGGGTCAATCTGGGGTGAGAAGTGTGATTTGATAGAAAGGACAGTTGCATTTGGACATGAAAAATCGGTGATGTAAATACACCGTAGGAAGTGACTGGGTCCTTTGCGGTTCAACAGCATGAATCTAAGGATTATAGTAGATCACAAGGTAAACATGAGTTAACAGTGTGAGTTTTGTGAAGGAGCCAAAATCATATTCTGAGATGTATGAGTAGAGATACAGTCTGTTAGACACATCAGTATTATCCTTGCACCGTAGTCAGCATAATTGAGATCTTTATCTGAGTGCATAAAGAACAACAAGAATAGTCCAAGTCTATAAAACATGGCTTGCAAGGAGAGACTGAAGATATTCTTTTAATAAGAAGGGGAGATTGTTGTGACACGTAAGTTAGATAATACAGGGGAAGAAAAATTGGTTCAAGTGAAACCCGTTCGATTTCCTATAAAGATGATGGAGTTCCTAAGGCTGGAGATCTCTAAGATCAGGTCAGGCAAACATCCCTCAGGAATGACATGGATGTAGTTGGTCCTGCCCAAAGTTCAGGGGAATGGGCTACGTGGTGCCAGGTGGTCCGTTTTGGCTTTACAGCTCTCTGATGCCAAAGTGCCTTCCCAAAATGCAGGGTAATGGGAATATAAACTTCAGCCTCCTCTTCATGTTTTTGTAGACCTGACTACTCCCATGTGGTTTAGTGTCCAGAGTTCCCTGCATCTCCACAGCCAGACATGTTTGGTTTGGGGAGGACATGATGCTAAAGTTACTCTAGTCTGGAGACTCCAGTGGGATATTACCTGGAGCGGGTGAATGCCAGAGTATGGCACTTAGAGGAGAGAAGCAGGGACAGGAGATCAGAAAGAAATTGGTGTGAGGGAGAAGATCAGAACAGGTGCTAGGAAAACCACTTTTCAGATGTAGTCCATTTCAAACATTGGAGAGGCCCAATGTATAAGTCATATGCAGAGGTGGGAATGATCTAGCAGTTCATTCCTCTCTTAAAATTGGAGCGGGAAAGATTGGTCACAGCTGCAGCTGCTGTTTGCGGTTGCCTTTAAGCAATGCTTCAGTTTATATACCCAGCCTGGGAAAGCCCAAATCTCTCAACCTTAAAAACATGTAGCAGCTGGCCAGCCTTCACTGCTTGCTGCTGCTGGAGGTGAAGGTCAGAGTTGATCCTGAACCCTCTTTCCGTTGGAGGAGCAGTGGCAAAGACTCCTGTGGGAAAGGCTGCTGAGTCAACCACGGAGTGTATAGCTACCAGTGAGGTGGAGGAAAGCCTCCAGGCTGTAAAAATAGCTGCACTAGGAGCCCTAATATACTTAAGTGCTTATTTTTCCATGTGTGATCTCATGCAAACCAAGCTGCTGGGCACTATGACATAGCAGTTGGCCAAAAATAAAATGTAACTCAATCAAAATGGTGGTTTTTTTTTTCTGAAGTTAACCTTTGATGGTAGGAGAGACAGGTACCCTGTTTTTTCATTTCCATTATTATTGTTAGAAAAAAAATCCAGGGGGAAAGACAGATGAAGATGGTATTGACACCTGGTATCCATTTTGTGATGATGGCCACAGGTCAAAGATAGGAGTTGTACCTTTCTTGCACAGCATGAAAACATACACAGGATCTCTCTGTGTGCTTCTGCAGCAGATTTCATTGAACTGAGTTTGGGTGAGTATTTGATGCTGAAAAAAGGTATAGCCTAAAAACCATTTGAAGCTGAAGACCATGAAGGAGATACAACTCCAGCTTAGAATAAGGGGCTTTAATCCTTTATTATAAGCCTCAGAAAAATGTCTTTAGAGACCTTTAGAAGTTCATTTTCTTTCACTGCTTGATGCTTGGCATTAGTTGGTTTTATTTTTTACTTTGGTCACTTGTAGTAGGCATGTGCTGCATATGATGGGCTGAAACCATGAAACCCTTATGACAAAAACTATTGAATGTCTGGACAGGCTGGCTGCCCAAACTAGCATTGCACTCTCAAGGAAGAAGAGTGCCTTACTAATCCATTGCTGGTGGAGAAATGGACAGACTTGAGGAGTAGGATTGCTTTTCTCCATTTTATCAAATGGTGAAAATCTTTGTAATCTTGAATTTCACATGTGGAAGCATGTGCATCTCATGGCAAAAATCTGGATACAAACAACCAGATTTGGGGCATTGGGGTTTTTTTCTACCCATTAACATAACTTGTAACTATTTCATATTTTGTTTCTGTAACAGCAAAAGCTAAGGGAGAAAATCCCTGACATGACAGTCTTTTAATCATGCTTCTCCACTGCAGGGCCTCTGACCTGTTTCTGCTGGACACGCGGGCAGTGTGGGCATCGGAGGAGGGCTGGCTGGAGTTTGATGTCACTGCAACCAGTAACATGTGGGTGATGAACCCTCAGCATAACATGGGACTCCAGCTGAGCGTGGTGACACGGGATGGTAGGTTATGGGCCAGGTAACACAGGTCACCTCTCGAGTCTCTTGGATATTTTCTGGAAGTGATACTAACAGAACTAGTTAGAATGTTGAGGGGAGAGCACGCTGCCTTCATAAGGCAGCTGAAAACAACACTACAAGATGTCCAAGGGCACAGATGGTGGGCTGTCAGTTTTTGGCTGTCCCATGATAGACATGTCTTTTCCAGTGGGTGAGGTCAAGTATATCTAGACAGTACCAAGATGAGCTAGTACTGGGTTGGGGTAGGGCCCCAGTTTCTGGGTTGGAGGTGGAAGGGGACATGGAGCTGGGATTCCAGGTGGGGTGATGTCTAGGGATGAGAGAAAGAGAAGAGGGCAGGTATATGCATACACACCTCCCCATGTGGGCTTATGGCAGCCCTCCTGATGGCTCTCAATGCTTGGATCTCATCAAAGCTGAGATGGGAGCACTGCACTGGAGAAGTGATGTGGTCACTGTGTGGGACTGATCCCTCTGAGAGCATATACAATGATAGCATTTCACAGCCCACAGAAATTTTGAAAGCTGGAGAAGGAGCAAAGACTCTACAAAAGAGCATGAAATTGAGTGTTGAAAGTAAGCTGTGGTATAGGAGAGGACCTAGTTGAGCAGAAAGTGACAAAAAAGATGACAGTAACATCTGTATTCTATAGAAACAGTCTCCAACCTTATGTTTCCTTTCTAACAGTTCGTGATGGGGTTTGGTACACCTGTGGTGTGAACTAGGGAGAGATTAGAGGGGCTGTCTACTGTTCTCCCCGAGGAAATATTAATGCCAGCCTCCTCAGTTGGGCTGAGAGCCTGTCCCTGTGCTCCTGACAAAAGCACACCATCTCTTTGCCCTCTGGTTTCTCTAGAGGTCTTCTAATCTCATCTCTGCTTCTTGTGTTTCATGGGCAGCAGAACTAATTTCATGATACTTCTGGGCTTCGTGTTTTATATATCTATCTATATAACTCTTTAATGCCTAAACCACAGTAGAAATGCCATAAGGGTACCAAAGAGCCAGGTGCCACAGTGAAGTCTCTTGTCCAGGATGGATGGAGTGCTGTCATAACAATGTCCATAGGTTGTGGTGACTGGAAAGGAATGTTTAATGTTTAAAGAAAGTCTTGTGGGAGCAAGAAGATAGGAGATGCTGCTTATGGGAGATGTCATGAAGCTGAAGGGAGCAATCCAACTGCATCATTTCTCTAACACTCACTTTTCTGTTTGGTTTGAAGGTTTCAGTGTAAATCCTAGAGAAGCAGGCCTTGTAGGGCGAGATGGCCCTTACGACAAACAGCCTTTCATGGTGGCCTTCTTCAAAGTGAGCGAAGTTCACCTACGGACCACTAGGTCAGTGACAAGCAGGCGCAGACAACAGAGTCGAAACCGCTCCACCCAGACTCAGGACGTTTCCAGGGTGTCTACTGTCACAGGTAATCATGTAACACAGGTAATCGTGCAACACAAGCTGAACACCTTGTAACGTTTCTGTTTGCTTTGGAGTGCAGAGGCATGAAGGGGCTTGTGAGGTGGGATGCTCTTCCTTGGGGGAATAGGTTACATCTGCAAGGGGATAGAAGAGATGGTCTCATATGAGATTTACAGGAGTACTCTTGAATCCACGGTGGAGTCCAGACCCCCATGTGAACTCATTGCATCCACTGAATTCAAGGGGGTGAGGTGTTTTAGCCACAACTTTTGTGCTTGAAAGTTGCTTGCTATGCAGTATTTGTCTAGAATTGTGCACTGTGAAATGTAATATTTAAAAGATTCCATCTTTGTGTACACTAAAATTTATGGTATTGCACATATACATTCCCAGCAGATTCCTCTTTCAGTTTTCTTTGAAAAAAAATGTGGTAGAACAGCATGAGATCTTTTTCCTTTTTTTCAACCTTGTGAGAACATTATCATATACATGGTGAAGTGCATTTTCAGGCAGGCAAAGAAGTTTGCTGTGGAAAGGCTGCATGTTGCAGGTGCTGTACAGCAGCCTTGTGAGTGCTGTTGTCGGCTGATGGGGCAGTACAATAACTCTAAAATTTTGACAAAAACTGAGGGTCTTCTGTTTCATAGGTCTGGTCTGTTTTCCAGCCTCTGTGCGCTGCATCGCAGTGCTACAAGTCCTTCGTTCACTGAGTACCTTCTTTTCTCTCAAACATTTCAGCTCATTCAAGTCACTTGATTAATTTGCTTATGCTGCCCCCTTCATTTACAATAGGATCCCTGCTTTTCCCGTGTCTGGAAACAACTGTACCCCAAGGAAGAGAGGCAGCTGTGTTTTTTAATCTATGTCCAGACACAGCACAGGGAGTTGCTGAAACTTAGCTGGATCTGTAGGCTGTCCCCTGCTCTTGCATGCTTGGGTTGTGGGTGAGCCATGCTGCATCCAAAGTGGCTCCATGCTGGCTGTGGTGCTGGGAGCCTGCAGATTACAGAGCCAGGTTGGAGCCCTTCCTGGTCTGGCGGCCAGGGTTTGTGCATGACCGTGTGCTGACACAGCCCTATTGCTCCAGCCCATTGTGGCCTTTGCATGTCCCTGTAGTGTACACCGCAGTATGACTGTGGGTTTTCATGCCGTGTCTTGCAAGTGCCAGACTCAGCTGGGTGTGAAACATCACTTCCCGGATTTTAAGGGCAGGAGGAACAATTCAGTCCTGCAGCTTGACTGCCCCATGGGAGGCTGGTCAGTGCCAGCATGGCATTGCTGGAGGAGTTATCATCTACTCTGGCATGACAGCCCTCTGCTAGCACCATCTTGAAGAGACCTTTGGTCCTGGTTTTCCTCTGTGTCTCCAAGCTGCAGTTTTAAAGCTGGCCATCGTGGCTGCTTGCCGAGTTACTTTCCCATGCGATGGACATGCCAGGGACACAGGTAGTTTATTCACCTAGGTGTTATAAGCCCAACTTTTGCAGGCAGCATGCAATTCTCCCTCTCAGGTGGGCTCGGCTCCTGTGCTGCCTTCATCACAGGAGCCAATTTTTAATGCATTCACAGAGCTTCAGGAAAGTTACTTTCTGTGTTGCTGTTTCGTGGTGCTAGCGGCAGTTGGAGTTAGGATACACTCCAACTTTCTCTCCCTAGCTCTGCAAACTTCATAGTGCTAAAAAAGTAATTTCACACTATTAAATCAGGCAATGTGACTCAAAGCTCCAGAGGGAGCAGATATGTTGGGCAAAAAGGGCCATTTTTACATGGCTGCTTTCTTGACTACACCACACATCAGGTCATAAAAATTCTAAACTGACAAAAAGGGAAAAAATAGCTGGCATTCTGTGGTCTCAAGGGTTTTTTTGGGCTCTTCTAGTTCAAATCCAGTTTTAATTTAAAACCTGGAATTTGGCAGTTCAGTAGTCAACAAGGTATAGTTGAGGCTTTGTGGATTTAAGGCAGGGGAAAGGAGGGGATTTTAAAGTTAAGATGTATGTTTGGTTGGTTTCTGTGTTTAGAAAAGAGAGACTACATCAGCTTATTTTACTTTCAAAGTGTGACGCTCTCTGACTCTGCTCTCCATAAGAAGTGGTTGTTTCAACAGCCCAAGAGGCACCAATGACCAATAAGTGTTTTTAGCATTAAAGAGATCACAGGACTTTTATTACTTTTTTTTTTTTTAGTTGTGAGGGTTTCTACATCCATACCCCAGTGGTGCATGGTGAGGCTGGGGAAGCATTCACCCCAGGATGAAGGAGGAGGCAAGCCCAGGGATTACCCTGCTGCCTAGCTCTTCTGAGGGTGCCCTGATACACCTGGACCCAAAGCGGGTGCAGAACTGGGATACTTCTGTGCAACTCACCACCTCCACATCTTCCTCTCTTGCTGTATCTTCCATCTTGTCAAATTTTTGGTCTGTGCTCTTCCCTGACCTAGGATTGCAGCTGCCTACCAGGACTGGAGAGCAACTGTTCTCCTGGAGAGCAAGGCAGTTGGTTGATTTGATGTTTTTGTGTAGATTGAACCTTCCTTCCTCTATATTAGTGAATACATAGAGTTTTCTTTCTTCAGTCCAGAAAGGAACCCCTTTTCCAAAAGATGCTGTGAGTTAGTTTGAGTCAGTAAGTCTTAAAAAGCCCCATTTACTGTCTAAATTTGGAAAGCATTTCAAGCCCTGCAGTTTGGACTGCTGGGCTGGGCTGGTACTGGATCTGTTGAGCCAGGGCATTAGGTGAAAGCATCTACATGCTGGATAGGGACCCCACTCTACTTCCTTTGATGTGCAGTTGTTGTCCTGCAGTCAGTACCAAGAGCTCAGATACTAAGGCTATGGCTGTGGCATAAGAATCTCAATGGTCTGTTGTTTTTTTTTTTGCTAAGAATGCTTATTTCCCTGTATTATAAACACGTAATTATGACTGGCTTATATAAAGAAGAACTGAGTAACAGTAACTCCCATGGTTTATAAACTGCTTTGACAAAGAGTCCTGCGTCAGTGCATTCCTGGAGTCAAGCTCTGCTCTTCCGTAGAAAGAGGATGAGCAGGAAGAAAAAGGAGTATTTTCATCAGTTGAGGCAGAAAATCATATGCCAGCTCAGGCCCAGGATGTGGAGGAACAAGGTGGGTGGGAGGAGGATGCAGGTGTTTCTCTGCTGTTATCTGCAGGATCTGGAGGCCCTCACTCAGCCAAATCTTGCAGTAGGTTGAGCTCATGCTCTCAGATTCCACACTCACCCTCTAGTTAACTGAAGAGATGGGGGTCTGTCTTCAGTATGGTGATTCTCTGCCATACAGCCTACTCCTCTGTAATTTATGGTTTCTGCATTGAGGCTATCTCCTTTTCCAGTGGTGATAATCCTTCTCTTCTACAAGTCAACCTTCAGGCACACCTCTTCCCATCAGCCCGTCCTTATGGAGAGAATTTAAATGCCTGACTTTGGGCTGCACTTGCTGCTCTGAGTGAAACTCAAGAAAAACCCCTTTTCATGTCATTTTTAGCCATCCTAGGGCCCCCAGAACTGGTGTGAGGTGCTCCATGAGAAATGGAGGGACCCTCCAAGTGGCCTTCCAGATGACATGCACAGCACCAGGCAGATTTCCCCATGTGTATGGGAACCAAATATCCCAAAGGGCACCACGCACAAACACTGATGGCAAATAAGGCCAAATGCTTTCATAGTGGCAAGGGTAAGGGTAGTAAACTTCATTATCTGGCAGCCAATCTACCCTTTAGTAGAGCCCTTGGATGCTGACTGGAGCAGCGTGGCCAGCATTTCTGTATGTGCCTTCACATGTGGGTTCGCATCAGCCCGACATCTCCCCTTCTTCCCACCCAAGCAGATCACTTTCATGTGAAGTGGGCTGTTATTAACTGTGTGATCAGTTTACACCAGCCTTATCCGGACAAATCACCAAAGTCAAACACCAAGAAGAAGGGGCTGGCCTTGGAGACCTCTGTCAAAGCTATTTTGAATCACAGAAGCAATTAATTACCATGTGGAATTTGGTAAACTGGCACCTTGGGACCAGCAAGGGTGTTCTCAGGCGGATCGACCTCAGTAAATATTTATATATTCTTTGCCAGCACTTAACGTGGGAGAGGTTATAGGAAATCTAAGGTGGATGCATAAGTATCTGTAGGAGGAAGACCATTAGGGTCAGGCTATTCTCTCACCCTGTTCAGTAACACACATACCAGTGTCCAGCCTTAAGAGAAACATCTGTGCTCACAGAAAGTCAAGCTTGAGTCCCGGTGTTGTCTAACATGCAGTGCAAACAAGCCACAGGGACAAGCCGTTTTAACTGTGCTGTTTTAACTGTGCTGCTCTGGGAGTTATTTTTAAGTGCAGAACTAGGGGTTTGGGTTTTTAAAAAATCTCTGTTTTAGACAAAATAGTTTGCAGTATGATTAAATACAGTGCCTTGTCAATGCCAAGCTAGTGTTTCTGAATTGGTATGTTCAGAGGAAAAAATAGAGACGATTTTGCTAAACCCACAGTGAGCCTATAGGAGCTCCCAAAGCAGCTCTCTGAACTTTCAGAGATTTTGAAGGTCTCCAGCAAACAATCCTTGCAAATTGTGCTGTAGCAGTGTAAGCCACCCCTATGCCAGTTGTTTGCAGCATCCCCATGCTGCAGGCTACCTGCTCTTGGCCCTTCTGGCTCCTCACTGCATAGCTGGCAGGAAGGGACACAAACCCTGTTGTCTCTTGACAGTTGGATCTTGCACTGTGGACCACCTCAAATGGTAATTTAGGCTAAAACAGCTGAGCATGCTGGACTAGAGTAGGTGATACTGCTTTCCAGGCTTTGGAGAAAATGTGGTGTGGAAGCCAAATTAAGTAGCTCAGTGAGCTTTAGCTCATTGCCAAAACCTCTTGACTGTGTGTATTCCTCTTTTTTTGGGCCCATAACTGGATGTACATCCAACATAACGTGGCTCTAGGGCATATGCTGAGCCCCTAACTGTAGGCAATGGGTCATGACTATGTGCATCTCTATTGCTGCAGTTTTTTCCCCAATTCAGAAAGCCACTGCTAAGGGTTGCTTAAAGGTTTGTAACATCCCTAAAGTTGGGCTAAAGTAGCTTCCATAAAGTAGACATGGTAGGAAAACACATAACAAGAAAGAGGGCAGGGGTGCTTGGGGTGAGCGTTAAACAGGGAAGAGTGCAATTCCAGGGAGAGGGGATGTTTAGTATGTTGACATTTAAGAAAACAAAGGCTGAGTCTGGGAGGAGGTAGAGCTCTGCATCTGCCTTGGATGGAGAGCAGCCAGTGCTCCATGCAGAGTGTGAATCAGGTGACTCCAACCAGTGAGCTGAGGCGAGTTTTTGGGGGCAGTGTGAGAGAGGACACGTTCATAACATGTTCTGCTTCGTGTAGTTTGTTAAGTAGCTCTCTTTTCCGCCCCTGTGTTTTCTTAAACTTGTGATTGCTTGCAGCCTTCCTTCCCACTCCTGTTTTCTCTGCCTCCCTTGCCTTCTCCCCTTTCCTGTAGCAGATTTGGGTAAATTGTAGCTGGATTTGGAATGTAGCATCATTCTGCCCACTCGGTTGTGAATAGATCAACTCCACTGTAACTCTCTATCACATACAGATGGTTTTCCTCTAAGCAAACTACATATTTCCCATTGAAAAACAATGAACTTTTGTTTTCAGGTACTTAAATGTAAGCCTTTGATCCCTAAGACTATCTTCTGTTCATTTTTCTTCATCATTATGATCAGATCAGTTTGAAACATCTCATGCTAGAAATTTGCTCCTGGGCTGAGCCAGGGACTGAAAAGCTTCATCTGAAAAAACCCACCACACCCTGGTTTGTACTGGGTACGTCTGGTTTGAAAATGGAAAGCTTGAATAGAGAGACTCGCCTCCGTCCTTGTTACCATGTGCTCCTGAAAGAGCAAATGTTTATGCTGCAGCAGGCTGTTAACCAGCTCTGCTCACCTGATTAAATCCATGATTGAAGTGAAGCTATTGAAAGTCTGAAATGCAATCCTCAGAGTTTAAAACCCAAGCTGCTTCTAAAAACAACTCTGTAATCTTTGGTGGTTGGGAGGCTGGGTTTGAGGTAGAGGGTTTTTTTCAGTCCTCAGTGTTAACTGTACCCAGCTGTACTGCTGTGCTGCCCTTAATGTCAGTTGGATGTGCTTTTAGTATTATAGTTTTTCTTTTGAATAAATATTTGCATTTGTAGTTCCCAAACTTTAGAGGGGGGTGTGTGCTGGAGGGAAGAAAAAGAAAGGCTTATTCAGAGCCAAGGAAAAAGTCACTAAAAATATTTTTCTATCCCAGCTGCCGCATCTGGGGAAAGCTGTGCTGGGAGGGTGCCCTTTAAGCCATGTTAGGGGCGCCAGGAGGCTGGTAAGCCAAAAGGTTCAGGGCAGCAGGAAGCAGGCAGAGCAGCCTGTGGCATCTGCCTGCTGACAGAAGCGCCTTTACTTGCAGATGAGGTGTGTGAGCACGGAGCAGGCTCCTGTGGAAAGGCATGGGAGGAAAACAGCCAGTCTGGGTCGAGCTCTAGGATGAGCACACACGTGTCATGGCATGGATGGGACCTGGGTTCCCACGCTGCCTGGCTGAATTTGCTGCAAAGTGTGGGTT